AGAGAAAAGTATTCAGATACAATGAACTGATCGATCCCAATTCCTTTGCTTTCTTGGTCATCTCCACCACTCTACACAAAATAAGCACTCTAAAGCTTAATTTTAAATTGATTATACAATCCGAAGGAAACTCGACCAAGGCTTGGGAGTGATCTGGTTCTGAAGTGAGCCTGAAAGGGGCTTCTGGTATTCTATCTGAAAGAACAGGATGGCGCTGAGCCCGAGCTCTCAAGCCACAGAAAGCTGGGTGCCACTGTAGTGCATGTAGTCTTCACAATGCCTCACTGCTACAGTTCCTGAGCTGACTTCTCCAGAATTGCTAAAACGGTTAACATCTTCACGATAAGGGATTTTCCAAACAGATCATTTTAGAATGTAATCAAAAAGTATAATTACTTGCAGTATAATTAGGATTTGCAGTAAACTCAATGGAAGCAAGACTGCCCAAACTTTGTTTCTTGAGTTGTAAAACAATGACTCAGGTATATCAAAATATCCTAAAGCTCTTACCCAGAACCTTTTGTCAATCCTGAGCATGGTAATTCCAAACCTACACAGGACTATGGAAAGTTTGAAAACTTGAGCCAAATGCTCACTTATCTGTTATGCAGTTTCAAATGAACTTAACAGTTTTTTTTTCTTTTGCGTTTCAGTTTTTTTTATTCTTTTTTCTTTTTTGTAATAAGTAATCAATAGGGACTATCTTTCTGGTTTAAAAAATAAATCAGTATTGCCACTAAAAAACTTCAGCTTTATTATTATTAAAAGTATGGCACCATCGAATATAAAATACCTTAGAAATGTAGTACCAACAGGTCCATCTCATTTTCTCATTAATGTTTTCTCTATTCATTAAAAAAAAAAAAAAAAAGTAAAAGTATTCCTTAAAAACATGTATTTACCAGAGACAAGAAAAAAATTACGGTCTCAGTAAGAATTCATGCTCCATGCATGAAAAATTGGGTGCTATCTTTATGGGTCTGTTCCTGCCACCTGTCCCTGAGGTCAAGTTCGACCTGACCCAGGGAAGAATTTCTTATACTTAAGACAGAAGGAGGGGTCCACTGTGCAGGGAGGTCCAACTCCAAATTCAGGTGTTGTCGTCTTTTCTGAATTTGGTAAGGATAGGAAAATAATAAAAGCGTTCCCAGCTCAACAGAAGTCAGAACTAGCTCTTGGAGTGTAAATTTTCACTCTAATGACAATCACTGGCCTCTCTATTTTGAGTCAGAATTAATTTGAAAGATAAGAATGCAGTTGTGGAACTGTGCACAAAATGTTAAATACTGGTGGCAAATAAATACACTTTAAAATGTCCTAACAAGCAAACGTATATTCATGATAATACAACACTGTTTTCTTAAGGAAAGAAAAGATTCAGATTTTCTCTGCAGGATTAGATGGGAGTACTCTGCCATCCTTTGAGTAGGACGTCATCGTCATCCCAGTTTCTACTGGCACCTTCACAAAAACACTGGCCTCAGCATGTGACTATTGCTGTTTCATACAAGAGCCATTTTAGACATACCTTTGCTCATATCTGAAGTAACATAAGCCTTGGAGAAAGCACAAAGTTTAAGTATGAAAAATAATTAGACATTTCTGCTATCATCCCATGCCTTTTAGGCCTGTCCAAAGTGTACTGATAAGAACTTCACATTCCACAGAAGTTTCTGTCAGTGATTCTTCACAGGTAAAATTCAAGTGAGTTCCTGGAAGGGTAATTCACATCACCTTTGCCTTATCTCATGCATAATTTATTGCGACAGTTTTGTATTGTTTGTCTGTTTATAAAAAAAAAAAAAGTTCCCCTAATCCCCTTGTCTTCGGTTTAATTTGCACAATTTGCAAGTGTCCCTCCCTTTTGAGAGGGTTGGTTTTAACCACTGCCCTTAGCGTTTGCTTCTTAGAGCAGCTTTAAGAATTTGAGTCTCCAAATACATTCAGTCCTGATGCTCTGGCGTTCTCTGGGTCATATGGTGGTACAGGTCCAGGAAACCAGCAGCTTGTTAATGTCTTTGTGCTGAAATATAGTAAAGACAAGGAAGAAAAATGGAGTTAAGCACAAAAGTGAAGTCCTCATCATTTCTATTAAGGCATAAATAGACTGTGGGATTGCACCTAATTTTTAAATTAAAATCCCTGAAATGTGACCAGTGTTTGCCGAGAAAACAACTTGCTGCCACTGCAAGTCAATGAAAGGGCCTCTGTTACTGCTAAAGTGTGTCTGGCCAAATCCCAGCACGAGCGAGATGACTGTCACCTTCACGCAGACAGCCTATGCTTGAGTACATGTTGATAAATACGCGTATCTAAGTAAGTATCAGTCTAATAAAAGGAAAAATTGAATTTCAGATTGCACATTCTTGCCACTTCACAGGCAAAAGGACCAACTTTCAAAGTCGGCTTAGCTACTGTGGATTGGTGTGAGGCGGCGGCAGAAGACTTCCTCTAGCGCAGGCTGGCTTGCAGTCTTCAGAAGTCAGGTAACAAGGTATGTAAAAGCCACCGGCAGATTGCACTGCCTAAATTTTGTACAAAAAGAGGAGTGTGGAGGGGTGCTTCACTAAACCCACCCTGGTAGACACCAAGATACCATTTTGCTACTAGAATACAATGTATGTATGGATTAGACAGACCACAGTGTCCTTGTTACAGCAGTGAACTTCATTACCAGCAGCTGCATGCTGTACCAGACCTCCAACAAAAAGCAGGACTCGGAACAAACCATTTATAAAGGGCAAGGCTGATAAATAAAGAGCACTGAAAAGTTGCACAAACAATGCCCCGTATTACCCACCTCCTTGGTATCACAAACTGTGAGAACACCTGTGGAAAACCTGAGTCCTTGGTTGTGCCTCTCCAACCTGGGCTTAAGTACTAAGGAGAGTTTGAATTCCAAATAAGGTGATCTATAGAAAGAAAGGTGACTTTTTTTGTTATTTTTTTAATTGATCAAAGTTATATTTAAACCAAAAATGTTGTCTTTTTACTGGAGTACTTAAAACAAAAATGTTGTATTTTTACCAGACAAAACAAACACAGAACACAAAAAAAGGAACTCTCCATCCCCATTCTAGCCAGTATTTCATGTCCAAACATTTCAGTGCAGGTATCTTCCCATTATGTGCATTATGTGATCAAATTCTTGCTTGCCATGCTTCCCTTGCATACTGGATCAAGGTCCCTACAGTAAATTCACAGGGCATTCTAGCATGTTTTTACTCAGGCAATGAAAAATTACTTCTAGCCATAAACATCACACATATCAGATGGGAAGGAGAATACAGACCTTGTTTCTAAAGAAAGAGAATGACTTTGTTCTCAACTTAAAAAATTCATCGACACTGAATGTAGGTGTCTTAAATTTCCATAACTAACATATTGTACAAATATGATTTTAATATACTATTAGAATTTGACCCATATAGAACTTGGTACCTGACAATCTAGAGAAGCAAAGATTCCAATTTTATAAACAGAAAAA